TCGTTCTGAAATTTAAAGATAATCCAACCCTTATCATGGGACCTAACTAAACATTTCACCCCCCATTTTTGCCTAAGCTCATGGACAGCTTTAAGCCCAGGAAACCGACCTGTGAAGAAGCCAACTAGACAGTGTCCCCACATTTCCACCATAGAAGGCATAACCCTATCAGCCAGGTCCACAACATTACCCATTGGAGGGATATATCTCAGTTTAATCCCGTGGGAAGGAGCTCGGTTATCCTTAAAGAGTGCATTCCATGGTTTATTAACCATTTCAGCTTTTTTAGGGACCTGTTTAATTAGTTCAGAACTCTCAGAAATTTTATTTGAGGTCTCTGCCAGATCTCCAGTAATCCCCTTCACCTGATCCTTGTTAAAAACCTACGCAGTCTGCCCAATTGCAGTACTTTTATCAGCAGAACTCACTTGTGCAGGATGCTCCTTCCCATCAGTGTGGACAGAAACCGAAGGTTTCCCAGGAGTCCTTACAAGTTTCCCAGCATTTACAGGCTGCAAATCCAAAGTATCAACTACCTGGACCTTACCAGGTGGGTTACCAGCACGTGAACAGGTAGAAGCTTTACCTGATTTCACCTTCCCAGCAGTTTTCAGAGACGCAGAGTTCAGGGGAGGGAAATCTACCCCCATGGCCTCCATGACGTCCAGCACTGTGAACCTAGATGAGGACCTAGTAGTTCTGGCAGTGGAAGCTTCCCGCATCCCCAATTTCGTTCTCGTCAACGCAGAACAGAGCCTGGGAGCGCAGATGAACAGTAAACTTGCGTAGTTGATAAATTCAACCTTGAGATGTCAGTGAATCCCAGGTCAATGATTCCGAGAAAGTTTTCAGAAGCGAAACCATGAAACAGCAATCGAAAAACGGACCCCAAAACACCAAACAGACACACCAGATTCACGAAATCAAATTGAAACTCGTGAACAGTAAATAATCTATTTTCGTCAAGAAACAGTCGCAAAAGGTCGAAATCAAAAGGTCCAAGAACAAGAACAAAGCCTAACCAGTTAAAACGAACCGGAAGTTCTCAGATAACCTTCGAAATCCATCCGCAGATTCATGGAAGACCTGCGCGTGAGGAAAAAAGGCTGGATCGCCGATGAACCCAGGAGAGAGACTCTCTCGACTTTTTTTCAGGCGCTGGTTTCAAATATTCAGGCGCTGGTTTCAAACTTCAGGCTCTGGTTTCAAAATATCAAGGGATGATTGCCTAATTACTAACATACACTGTATTTACGCTAAAAGTGCTCTATTTTCGCTGAAATCGCTAAATCATAGAGATAAGGCTAAGTATTTGTGACACTCATATCTTACTGTGTGTTTATCCGTTTGGAGCGTATTATATCTCGTTGGAAAGATAGATCGGAGATCTAAATCTATTGTTCCAACTTAATTTACAATGCATTAATTAAAAGTTACAGATTAACCATATATTCACAAATGTTTCAGATTTCACTCCGAACTCGTGTAGAATTTGAGGCGATCACATCTTGCTCTATTTTGTGCCGTTGAAAGCGTTTAATATCTCGTTGGAAGGATCTTACCGAGTTCTAAAACTTGTCTTCAGGCGCTGGTTTCAAAGTATCAAGGGATGATTGCCTATTTACTAAAATATACTGTATTTACGCTAAAAGTGCTCTATTTTCGCTGAAAACGCTAAATCTTAGAGATCAGGCTAAGTATTTGTGACACTCATATCCTGCTGTGTGTTTATCCGTTTCGGGCGTATTATATCTCGTTGGAAAGATAGATCGGGGATCGAAAGCTATTGTTCCAACTTCATTTACAATGCATTAATTAAAAGTTACAGATTAACCATATATTCACAAATGTTTCTGATTTCACTCTGAACTCGTGTAGAATTTGATGCGATCATATCTTGCTCTATTTTGTGCCGTTGAAAGCGTTTAATATCTCGTTGGAAAGATATTAATGAGTTCTAAAACTTTTCTTCAGGCGCTGGTTTCAAAATATCAAGGGATGACTGCCTAATTACTAAATTACACTGTATTTACGCTAAAAGTGCTCTATTTTCTCTGAAAACGGTAAATCATAGAGATAAGGCTAAGTATTTCTGACACTCGTATCTTGCTGTGTGTTTATCCATTTGGATCTTATTATATCTCGTTGGAAAGATAGATCGGAGCTCTAAAGCTATTTTTCCAACTTCATTTACAATGCATTAATTAAAAGTTACAGATTAACCATATATTCACAAATGTTTCTGATTTCACTCCGAAGTCGTGTAGAATTTTATACGATCATATCTTGCTCTAATTTGTGCCGTTGAAAGCCTTTAATATCTCGGTTGAAAGATCTTACCGAGTTCTAAAACTTGTCTTCAGGCGCTGATTTCATAATAGCAAGGGATAATTGCCTAATTACTAAAATACACTGTATTTACGCTAAAAGTGCTCTATTTTCGCTGAAAACGCTAAATCATAGAGATAATAAGGCTAAGTATTTGTGACACTCATATCTTGCTGTGTGTTTATCCGTTTGGAGCGTATTATATCTCGTTGGAAGGATAGATCGGAGATCTAAAGCTATTGTTCCATATTCATTAACAATGCATTAATTAAAAGTTACAGATTAACCATATATTCACAAATGTTTCTGATTTCACTCCGAACTCGTGTACAATTTGAGGCGATCACATCATGCTCTATTTTGTGCCGTTGAAAGCGTTTAATATCTCGTTGGAAAGATCTTACCGAGTTCTAAAACTTGTCTTCAGGCGCGGGTTTCAAAGTATCAAGGGATGATTGCCTAATTACTGAAATACAATGTATTTACGCTAAAAGTTCTCTATTTTCGCTGAAAACGCTAAATCATAGAGATAAGCCTAAGTATTTGTGACACTCATATCTTGTTGTGTGTTTATCCGTTTGGAGCGTAATATATCTCGTTGGAAAGATAGATCGGAGCTCTAAAACTATTGTTCCAACTTCATTTACAATGAATTAATTAAAATCTATAGATTAACCATATATTCACAAATGTTTCTGATTTCACTCTGAACTCGTGTAGAATTTGATGCGGTCATATCTTGCTCTATTTTGTGCCGTTGAAAGCGTTTAATATCTCGTTGGGAAGATCTTACTGAGTTCTAAAACTTGTCTTCAGGCGCTGATTTCAAAATATCAAGGGATGACTGCCTAATTACTAAAATACACTGTATTTACGCTAAAAATGCTTTATTTTCTCTGAAAACGGTAAATCATAGAGATAAGGCTAAGTATTTCTGACACTCGTATCTTGCTGTGTGTTTATCCATTTGGAGCTTATTATATCTCGTTGGAAAGATATATCGGAGCTCTAAAGCTATTGTTCCAACTTCATTTACAATGCATTAATTAAAAGTTACAGATTAACCATATATTCACAAATGTTTTTGATTTCACTCCGAAGTCGTGTAGAATTTTATACGATCATATCTTGCTCTAATTGGTGCCATTGAGAGCCTTTAATATCTCGTTGGAAAGATCTTACCGAGTTCTAAAACTTGTCTTCAGGCGCTGGTTTCAAAATATCAAGGGATGATTGCCTAATTTCAAAAATACACAGTATTTACGCTAAAAGTGCTCTATTTTCACTGAAAACGCTAAATCTTAGAGATAAGGCTAAGTATTTGTGACACTCATATCTTGTTGTGTGTTTATCCATTTGGAGCGTATTATATCTCGTTGGAAAGATAGATCGGGGCTCGAAATCTATTGTTCCAACTTCATTTACAATGCATTAATTAAAAGTTACAGATTAACCATATATTCACAAATGTTTCTGATTTCACTCTGAACTCGTGTAGCATTTGATGCGATCATATCTTGCTCTATTTTGTGCCTTTAAAAGCGTTCAATATCTCGTTGGAAAGATATTATCGAGTTATAAAACTTGTCTTCAGGCGCTGGTTTCAAAATATCAAGGGATGACTGCCTAATTACTAAAATACACTGTATTTACGCTAAAAGTGCTCTATTGTCGCTGAAAACGGTAAATCATAGAGATAAGGCTTAGTATTTCTGACACTCGTATCTTGCTGTGTGTTTATCCGTTTCGAGCGTATTATATCTCGTTGGAAATATAGATCAGAGCTCTAAAGCTATTGTTCCAACTTAATTTACAATGCATTAATTAAAAGTTACAGATTAACCATATATTCACAAATGTTTCTGATTTCACTCCGAACTCGTGTACAATTTGAGGCGATCACATCATGCTCTATTTTGTGCCGTTGAAAGCGTTTAATATCTCGTTGGAAAGATCTTACCGAGTTCTAAAACTTGTCTTCAGGCGCGGGTTTCAAAGTATCAAGGGATGATTGCCTAATTACTGAAATACAATGTATTTACGCTAAAAGTTCTCTATTTTCGCTGAAAATGCTAAATCATAGAGGTAAGGCTAACTATTTGTGACACTCATATCTTGGTGTGTGTTTATCCATTTGGAGCGTATTATATCTCGTTGGAAAGATAGATCAGAGATCTAAAGCTATTGTTCCAACTTCATTTAGAATGCATTAATTAAAAGTTACAGATTAACCATATATTCACAAATGTTTCTGATTTCACTCCGAACTCGTGTAGAATGTGATGCGATCATATCTTGCTCTATTTTGTGCCGTTGAAAGCGTTTAATATCTCGTTAGCAATATCATACCGAGTTCTAAAACTTGTCTTCAGGCGCTGGTTTTAAAATATCAAGGGATGATTGCCTAATCACTAAAATACACTGTATATACGCTAAAAGTGCTCTATTTTCGCTGAAAACGCTAAATCATAGAGATAAGGCTAAGTATTTGTGACACTCATATCTTGCTCTGTGTTTATCCGTTTGGATCGTATTATATCTCGTTGGAAAGATTGATCGGAGTTCTAAAGCTATTGTTACAACTTCATTTACAATGCATTAATTAAAAGTTACAGATTAACCATATGTTCACAAATGTTTCTGATTTCACTCCGAACTCGTGTAGAATTTGATGCGATCATATCTTGCTCTATTTTGTGCCGTTGAAAGAGTTTAATATCTCGTTTGAAAGAACTTACCGAGTTCTCTTTTTTTTTTTTTTTTTGGATAAAATGTAAATGTATATATCCAGAAAAGTAGCATTATAAAATGCATCAAAAAGTCAAAAATATCTATCTAAGCTAGTCTAAACTAAGCAAAAATAGCATCTAACCATTCACCCCCACCATACGGCAGGGGTAGGGAGAGAAATATTTTCCAAGCTGGCACAGGACAATCCCCCGACTCAGCATCAAAACAAAGTCCAAAAAAAATCAAAGTAACAAACTGGAATGATCTCTATAGCCCAGCCCACCAATCAGCATAGAGACAGCTAATTAAAGCCAGCCAGCAGCCCTCAGCAGTCCAGAGAGCTCATCCCAGCAGCGGATCCAGGCCCAAGGTGCAGCCCCTTCCCAGCCCAATTCCAGCCCAGAGTCCCAACGCAGGCTAGGTTAAGGCATCGTTAACTTTCAGCGCCGCATAGGAGCGGCATCTTCGAGGAGCTACAGTACCCGACAAGACAGAAGTCGCTGGCAATCGCAGGCTTGTCGAGGCATGCCGTTGACTGTGCCGTTCAAACCTCCGGCGAAGCTCCGGCCGGTAACTCTGCACCCTATTCAAAAGCATTCCCATCGCCACGCTTGCAGTAGCACAAATCAGAAAAGTAACCACCCTCCACCCCCACGAGGCTCCGGCAACAAACCCGGCGGCAATGGCGGAGGGCAAATAAGACCCAGCCGGAAAGAAAGCCAAACCGGAGCTCCCCTCTCACCCCAAACCCCCGTTGGACCCCGGCGACCCCCAACGGCAATGGTAGAAGGCGACAGAGGCGGTAAGACAGTAGCCGGAAAACCCCCTTCTCTATCCGCCCTTCACCCCGCCAAGTTCCGGCGACCCTAGAGCAGTCCGATCAGAAAGAGAAAGAGGCAAAAGTGACCAAGCCGGACAAGTAAACAGAACAGAACCATTTCCCGTAGCCGTCGGACATCCGGTACCCATTAACCTCCGGCGAGTCATCTCTACGCCCCACCGGGCCCTCTGTGAATCCCTGGACCCCTTAAGCAGTATCGGGCATTACCAGGGAGCATGGCCAGCACCTGTAGAACCCCTCTACAACCTCTCCTACACCGATGCTTAGCCACGAACGGCCATCAACTGCGAACATCGGAAGCTTTCGCCAAGGAGGAGTGCTGGTCAGCAGGAGATGGGACGATGGCCGGCCGTGAGAGCTCCATTAACGGACTGACCCAGAGTTCGGACAGCTTCAATTCACCATAGCTACTCACCTGTGGGTATACCCGGGAAGACCCGAATCTAGGCTTCCGCCACGGCTAGCCTGAGGAGGAAGACCAACCCATCCCACAGACGGCGAAGAAAGCCAAACAAACAGTGGTCAAAATCGGAGGACCAACCGTCTGAACTTGGCCAGTCCAAACTATGAAAATGAAAGAGAGAAGACCCTAAGGATGCGAGAGACAGAGCTTACTTGAAGTTAATGGGTCCAATTTCCGGCGAACCACTGCCTTCAGCGAACTTCCCAGCAGCGAACATTATCCAGATCCAGTGAATCTGAGCCCAAGACCAATTTCCAAACACCAAACAAATCAAGAACATCCCACCTAGGTGGGATATTTTCCAAAAATTCGTAATGAACATCAAGAAACCCAGCCCACCGGAGCCAGGAGGGCTCCGGCGGCGGCGACCACCGTGAGTGGCGGCGCCGAGAGGAGGGGGAAGAGAGAGCAACCTAGGATCGAAATTCTAGTGAGAGACGCTCTCAACTCTCTCTTTTTCGTTGCATCGTAGCATGATGCAACTTACCGAGTTCTCAAACTTGTTTTCAGGCGCTGGTTTCAAAATATCAAGGATGATTGCCTAATTACTAAAATACATTGTATTTACGCTAAAGGTGCTCTATTTTCGCTGAAAACGCTAAATCATAGGGATAAGGCTAAGTATTTGTGACACTCATATATTGATGTGTGTTTACCCGTTTGGACCGTATTATATCTCGTTGGAAAGATAGATCGGAGCTCTAAAGTTATTGTTCCAACTTTATTTACAATGCATTAATTAAAAGTTACAGATTAACGATATATTCACAAATGTTTATGATCTCACTCCGAACTCGTGTAGAATTTGATGCGATCATATCTTGCTCTATTTTGTGCCGTTGAAAGCGTTTAATATCTCGTTGGAACGATCTTACCGAGTTCTAAAACTTGTCTTTTGGCGCTGGTTTCAAAATACTAAGGGATGATTGCCTAATTACTAAAATACACTGTATTTACGCTAAGAGTGCTCTATTTTCGCTGAAAACGCTAAATCATAGAGATAAGGCTAAGTATGTGTGACACTCATATCTTGCTGTGTGTTGATCCATTTGGAGCGTATTATATCTCGTTGGAAATATAGATCAGAGCTCTAAAGCTATTGTTCCAACTTAATTTACAATGCATTAATTAAAAGTTACAGATTAACCATATATTCACAAATGTTTCTGATTTCACTCCGAACTCGTGTAGAATTTGTTGCGATCATATCTTGCTCTATTTTGTGCCGTTGAAAGCGTTTAATATCTCGTTGGAAATCTCTTACCGAGTTCTAAAACTTGTCTTCAGGCGCTGGTTTCAAAATATCAAGGGATGATTGCCTAATTACTAAAATACACTTTATTCACGCTAAAAGTGCTCTATTTTCGCTGAAAACGCTAAATCATAGAGATAAGCCTAAGTATTTGTGACACTCATATCTTGTTGTGTGTTTATCCGTTTGGAGCGTAATATATCTCGTTGGAAAGATAGATCGGAGCTCTAAAACTATTGTTCCAACTTAATTAACAATGAATTAATTAAAATCTATAGATTAACCATATATTCACAAATGTTTCTGATTTCACTCTGAACTCGTGTAGAATTTGATGCGGTCATATCTTGCTCTATTTTGTGCCGTTGAAAGCGTTTAATATCTCGTTGGGAAGATCTTACTGAGTTCTAAAACTTGTCTTCAGGCGCGGATTTCAAAATATCAAGGGATGACTGCCTAATTACTAAAATACACTGTATTTACGCTAAAAATGCTTTATTTTCTCTGAAAACGGTAAATCATAGAGATAAGGCTAAGTATTTCTGACACTCGTATCTTGCTGTGTGTTTATCCATTTGGAGCTTATTATATCTCGTTGGAAAGATATATCGGAGCTTTAAAGCTATTGTTCCAACTTCATTTACAATGCATTAATTAAAAGTTACAGATTAACCATATATTCACAAATGTTTTTGATTTCACTCCGAAGTCGTGTAGAATTTTATACGATCATATCTTGCTCTAATTGGTGCCATTGAGAGCCTTTAATATCTCGTTGGAAAGATCTTACCGAGTTCTAAAACTTGTCTTCAGGCGCTGGTTTCAAAATATCAAGGGATGATTGCCTAATTTAAAAAATACACAGTATTTACGCTAAAAGTGCTCTATTTTCACTGAAAACGCTAAATCTTAGAGATAAGGCTAAGTATTTGTGACACTCATATCTTGCTGTGTGTTTATCCATTTGGAGCGTATTATATCTCGTTGGAAAGATAGATCGGGGCTCGAAATCTATTGTTCCAACTTCATTTACAATGCATTAATTAAAAGTTACAGATTAACCATATATTCACAAATGTTTCTGATTTCACTCTGAACTCGTGTAGCATTTGATGCGATCATATCTTGCTCTATTTTGTGCCTTTAAAAGCATTCAATATCTCGTTGGAAAGATATTATCGAGTTATAAAACTTGTCTTCAGGCGCTGGTTTCAAAATATCAAGGGATGACTGCCTAATTACTAAAATACACTGTATTTACGCTAAAAGTGCTCTATTGTCGCTGAAAACGGTAAATCATAGAGATAAGGCTTAGTATTTCTGACACTCGTATCTTGCTGTGTGTTTATCCGTTTCGAGCGTATTATATCTCGTTGGAAATATAGATCAGAGCTCTAAAGCTATTGTTCCAACTTAATTTACAATGCATTAATTAAAAGTTACAGATTAACCATATATTCACAAATGTTTCTGATTTCACTCCGAACTCGTGTACAATTTGAGGCGATCACATCATGCTCTATTTTGTGCCGTTGAAAGCGTTTAATATCTCGTTGGAAAGATCATACCGAGTTCTAAAACTTGTCTTCAGGCGCGGGTTTCAAAGTATCAAGGGATGATTGCCTAATTACTGAAATACAATGTATTTACGCTAAAAGTTCTCTATTTTCGCTGAAAATGCTAAATCATAGAGGTAAGGCTAACTATTTGTGACACTCATATCTTGGTGTGTGTTTATCCATTTGGAGCGTATTATATCTCGTTGGAAAGATAGATCGGAGATCTAAAGCTATTGTTCCAACTTCATTTAGAATGCATTAATTAAAAGTTACAGATTAACCATATATTCACAAATATTTCTGATTTCACTCCGAACTCGTGTAGAATGTGATGCGATCATATCTTGCTCTATTTTGTGCCGTTGAAAGCGTTTAATATCTCGTTAGCAATATCATACCGAGTTCTAAAACTTGTCTTCAGGCGCTGGTTTTAAAATATCAAGGGATGATTGCCTAATCACTAAAATACACTGTATATACGCTAAAAGTGCTCTATTTTTGCTGAAAACGCTAAATCATAGAGATAAGGCTAAGTATTTGTGACACTCATATCTTGCTCTGTGTTTATCCGTTTGGATCGTATTATATCTCGTTGGAAAGATTGATCGGAGCTCTAGAGCTATTGTTACAACTTCATTTACAATGCATTAATTAAAAGTTACAGATTAACCATATGTTCACAAATGTTTCTGATTTCACTCCGAACTCGTGTAGAATTTGATGCGATCATATCTTGCTCTATTTTGTGCCGTTGAAAGAGTTTAATATCTGGTTTGAAAGAACTTACCGAGTTCTCAAACTAGTTTTCAGGCGCTGGTTTCAAAATATCAAGGATGATTGCCTAATTACTAAAATACATTGTATTTACGCTAAAGGTGCTCTATTTTCGCTGAAAACGCTAAATCATAGGGATAAGGCTAAGTATTTGTGACACTCATATATTGATGTGTGTTTACCCGTTTGGAGCGTATTATATCTCGTTGGAAAGATAGATCGGAGCTCTAAAGTTATTGTTCCAACTTTATTTACAATGCATTAATTCAAAGTTACAGATTAACGATATATTCACAAATGTTTATGATCTCACTCCGAACTCGTGTAGAATTTGATGCGATCATATCTTGCTCTATTTTGTGCCGTTGAAAGCGTTTAATATCTCGTTGGAACGATCTTACCGAGTTCTAAAACTTGTCTTTTGGCGCTGGTTTCAAAATACTAAGGGATGATTGCCTAATTACTAAAATACACTGTATTTACGCTAAGAGTGCTCTATTTTCGCTGAAAACGCTAAATCATAGAGATAAGGCTAAGTATGTGTGACACTCATATCTTGCTGTGTGTTGATCCATTTGGAGCGTATTATATCTCGTTGGAAATATAGATCAGAGCTCTAAAGCTATTGTTCCAACTTAATTTACAATGCATTAATTAAAAGTTACAGATTAACCATATATTCACAAATGTTTCTGATTTCACTCCGAACTCGTGTAGAATTTGATGCGATCATATCTTGCTCTATTTTGTGCCGTGGAAAGCGTTTAATATCTCGTTCGAACGATCTTACCGAGTTCTAAAACTTGTCTTCAGGCGATGATTTCAAAATATCAAGTGATGATTGCCTAATGACTAACATACACTGTATTTACGCTAAAAGTGCTCTGTTTTCGCTGAAAACGCTAAATCATATAGATAAGGCTAAGTATTCGTGACACTCATATCTTGCTGTGTGTTAATCCGTTTGGGGCGTATTATATCTCGTTCGAAAGATAGATCGGAGCTCTAAAGCTATTGTTCGAACTCCATTTACAATGCATTAATTAAAAGTTACAGATTAACCATATATAAAAAAATGTTTCTGATTTTACTCCGAACTCGTGTAGAATTTGATGCGATCATATCTTGCTTTATTTTGTGCCATTGAAAGCGTTTAATATCTCGTTGGAAAGCTCTTACCAAGTTCTAAAACTTCTCTTCAGGCGCTGGTTTCGAAATAGCAAGGGATGATTGCCTAATTACTAAAATACACTGCATTTACGCTAAAAGCTCCGATCTATCTTTCCAACGAGATATAATACGCTCCAAACGGATAAACACACAGCAAGATATGAGTGTCACAAATACTTAGCCTTATCTCTATGATTTAGCGTTTTCAGCGAAAATAGAGCACTTTAAGCGTAAATACAGTGTATTTTAGTAATTTGGCAATCATCCCTTGATATTTTGAAACCAGCGCCTGAAGACAAGTTTTAGAACTCGGAAAATAGAGCAAGATATGGTCGCATAAAATTCTACACGAGTTCCGAGTAAAATCAGAAACATTTGTGAATATATGGTTAATCTGTAACTTTTAATTAATGCATTGTAAATGAAGTTGGAACAATAGCTTTAGAGCTCCAATCTATCTTTCCAACGAGATATAATACTCTCCAAACGGATAAACACACAGCAAGATATGAGTGTCACAAATACTTAGCCTTATTTCTATGATTTAGCGTTTTGAGCGAAAATAGAGCACTTTTAGCGTAAATACAGTGTATTTTAGTAATTAGGAAATCATCCCTTGATATTATGAAACCATCGCCTGAAGACAAGTTTTACAACTCGCTAAGATCTTTCCAACGAGATATTAAGCGCTTTCAACGGCACAAAATAGAGCAAGATATGATCGCATCAAATTCTACACGAGTTCGGAGTGAAATCAGAAACATTTGTGAATATATGGTTAATCTGTAACTTTTAATTAATGCATTGTAAATGAAGTTGGAACAATAGCTTTAGAGCTCCGATCTATCTTTCCAACGAGATATAATACGCTCCCAACGGATAAACACACAGCAAGATATGAGTGTCACAAATACTAGCCTTATCTCTATGATTTAGCGTTTTCAGCGAAAATAGAGCTCTTTTAGCGTAAATACAGTGTATTTTAGTAATTAGGCAATCATCCCTTGATATTCTGAAACCAGAGCCTGA